TGCTATTCTTAATGTTGCATAGTTCATGCTGGCAACAATACAGAATGTGCAGCTAGGAGGGTATTGAGCTGACAGAAGTGCATAGTATTGATTCTTGCATCCCTTAGAATTGACTAGCCTTTGAACAAGGGCAGATTGCTTATGTCTTGAATAGACTTAACATTTTCTCTTTTCCTGTATAACCCATTTAGAAACTATGACTATTTTTTGCAAATATTTCTTTTTAACCATTCACCTATGATTTAGAGTCAATTCACAATAATATGTTTATATTGTCAAAGACATTGCTTAAATTTAGCAATTACTACATAAATACAGTTTTATTCTATTAAAATAGATGTATCTTTTGATGTGAGAAATCAATTCTTGCTATTGTAGACTTAAAACCTAGTAATATAAAGTCTAAACTCTGAAAAATAACTGAAAAAATACAGTTTTTGATGGACTTTAGGAAAGCTCAGATCTTGTTGGAAAATCCAGGCATGACTGAAGAGTTGGTAGCATTTAATAAAGATTTTGAGTGATATGAAGAATTTCAAGGAACAGGAAAGGGAAAAGTAGAATCCAGGTAGAGTTTTTCAGTTTAAGTAAAGGAATGGGAATAGATGCTGAGACTGGAACACTTTGCCACAGCACAATAGCAGGAAGTTAGGGATGAGTGGAATGAAGCTTATGTGCTTGAGATAATGAACGATGAACCTGCAAAGTTGGATTATGACTAGAGTCATTGACTCCAAAGCCTAGATGGGAAGCAAACTATTGAGATGACCATGGCCACAAAGTGTATGAAGAAATGGAGAAGAGTAAAATTATAAGCCAACGCACATCTTATGAAACTATTGTATTATATTCAGAAAAAGAAGTACAGCCGGCATTAACAGTGAAAAGGAAAAAAAAAGAGGGAGGAGTATTTTTAGGGATATTATAGAATATTATCTATAGAAGTTGGCAATTAAAAAGATATAGGGGCATAGTAGGAATTTAGGAAAGAGAAGTCTCAGTCCATTAATGCTGTTATAACAAAGCACCTTAGACTAAGTAATTTATGGACAATAGAAATGTATTTCTCACAGAGGTAGAGGTTGAGAATCCCAAGATCAAGGTGCCTATAGATTCAGGTATCTGGTTAGTTCTCACTCTCTGCTTCTTCTTGCATTCTCGCTTGTCTGAAGGGGTGGAAGGAATAGGTTATACAGTAGGCTATACAGTATTTGTCACAAATACTAATTTTTTTTTTGTAGGCTATACAGTGTTTGCAGGCTATACAGGATTTGTCACAAATACTGATTTCTAACACTGCAGCATTGAAACAGACATAAACAACGTGTGGTAAAGGAATGGTTCTGATAGAAATTTTATGGAAACAGGCTGCAAGCAGAATTTGACCCACTGGCTATAGTTTACTGATCCCTGATTTACTCTCTCTGAGCCTTACTTCTGAGTGGGTTGTTGGGGGGAAACCCTATCATCACTCTAGATAGTTTATTAGATTTCTCCAGGTTTCTTCTGGCTGTAACATAGCAATCTATTTTTATCTTGCTGTTTTGATTTCGATATCCCTCTCTAAAGAGCCATGTAATAATATCAGTCTAATTGACAAGGTTTGTACATTCTCTTACCTCAGACTTATAACGTGTGGTGCAAATATTTTGCTAATTGGCCTTTTTTAGTGGTGCTCATTGAATTTGTTTAGGTAGCCAATAATGTCTTATTTGTGCTGAAAAAAAGTTCCTTGATTATATCTTTCTCTTGAGACTTGTAGACATCTAGTTCCTTGAACTGTTTATCTGCTTTTCTTCATGATTCTTCCCTCTGCAGCATTGTAAAACAAAGTCTTTAATAAGCACAATTGGCAGCAATTGTATCTATTCAACGTTGCAACTTAGACTCCTAACAGATCATAAGAAATCTTAAAATTCTTCCCTCAATCTCATACTCCAAGAGAGCTATAATTAATTTTGAGGTTGTTACTTATACTTACATCAAAATAAAATATGTATACAGTTATGTTATATATTTTTTTATTTGATCATTCTTTGGGGTAAGACGTAGTATGTTTACATAAAATAACATAATGTAAAACAACCAGATACTTTCCAAGTGTGCTTGATTTGTTATTCAAGTATGAATTCTGCTAGCAATCTTAGTCAAAGGCCAAAATTTTACTACTATAGTCAGAGCCCTAAGATTTGATTTTAGAAAACCTGTCTTTATTACATTTTCTGCTTTTAAAGGACTCTGTGTTTTATGTTAATGTCAGACAAGTTACGTTCCTCCACGGTGCTTGGTGTTTAAACTAGATTAAAAGCAAGATAGAAAAATTTTCTGCCATCCAATTGTGTGTGTGTGTGTGTGTGTGTGTGTGTGTGTGTGCATGTGTGTCTAATTGTCTGTGTGTTTGTGTGTGTGTGTGTGTGTGTGTGTCTGTGTCAAGACATCAAATATTAACTATTGTTTTGCAGTCCAAACATACTCTTTAATTTTGGATGAAATTGATAATACACATACTTCTAATTTAGCTTTATTTTTTCCCTCATCAAGAAGACAGTAAAACTATTAGCACATCATTATAAAGATTATAAACTTTCAATCTAAGAGGGAAGCCAGAAAATGAGCCTTGGGGGATTTCTGTTTGTATATTCAAGTTTTGCTCTCTCTGCTATAATAAATGAGTTCTTACCTAATCAAATAGAGTTGAAACCTTGGTGGTTGGTAGAGGGAAAGTATAAATGCAAAATTAAATGTAACATCAGGCAGTGGTAGTATTCTCCATTTGTACAACACATAAAGTAAACAAAAAGTTCAGGGAAAAAAACAGATACTATTTCCTAGTTATATCTTGAATATAATCTAATGTTGCATTGGTATTTAGAGATGGAGGAGAAAGTATTTTGTAAAGTTCATAAAAATAAATTAGATACTAAAGCACTTTGATAAGCAAGTGTTGAGGATGATTGGGAAAAAATCATCAGTGCTTTGTCTTTGGATATTTAAAAAAATTTTGTAAACATTAAACAATGGAACATTACAATAAGGCAAAGAAAAAGAAAAACAGAAAAAAGATAAACTGTAAAGATGGAAGATAGAAATAAGTAAACAATTCTATTAAAACCAATTTATGGCTGGGTGTGGTGGCTTACTCCTGTAATCCCAACACTTTGGGAGACCAAGGTGGGTGGATCACCTGAGGTCAGGAGTTCAAGACCAGCATGACCAACATGGCAAAACTCCCTCTGCTACTAAAAATACAAAAATTAACTGAACATGGTGTCAGGCACCTGTAATCCCAGCTACTCTGGAGACTGAAGGACAAGAATTGCCTGAACCTGGGAGGCAGAGGTTGCAGTAAGCTGATATTGTGCCACTGCACTCCAGCCTGGGGGAAAAGAGCGAAACTCTGTCTCCAAAAACAAAACAAAACAAAGCAAACAAAAACAAACAAAACCCAACTATTCCGCAACTTAATGCACTACATTTAAAAGAATTGTACCCCTAATTTCTTACCTGTGGCAGATTTCTTTCATTGTTACTAGGAAAGTACATTTTAGTCTGTATGGACATTTGAAACCAACTTTCATGTACAGTTTCATCAGTGATCACTCTGGTACCTAGGTATGAGATGTAATGAGAAATATTTGTAGTTAATCTGTGTCATTTGGGGTAGAAGTAAATTCATTCAGTATTGATTTGCTATAATTAATGCTTACCTTTCTGTTAAATACTGTGTTCAAAAAAAGGGAGAAGCATATATTTTCCAGCACAGAATTGGTAGTACTTTTCTGGAATATGGATTCAGTGTTGATTGATTATGTTTTTATTTTCCTTCTTTCTTTCCTTCCTCTCTCTCTTTCTTCTTTCTTTTATTTCTTCCTTCCTTTGTTATCTTTTGAGACTTCACATTTAGCCTTTTGTATTTTCGCAAAAGGGACTTTTCAATATTGCTACAAACTATAGTTTTGTACTAAGAGCATTTCAAGTATTCACAATTTGTTGCTTTTGGCCAAAATCCATCACAATTTCTAGAGTAGAGCACTGGCTCATTATGAGCCTTAAGCATCTCAGATGTTTTAAGCGCAATGGAGTTAGAATGAGTTTTTGAATGTGAAAAACATCCAAATGAATTTCATTGCCTCAGATAAGCACATTTCTCATGTCAGTTTGCCTTTACTTTTGGTGTAATCAACTAAAAAAAAAAGTGACTGTTTGAAAAGTAAAGTATTTTTATAAAGCAGTAAGAAAGTTGTCTTTCCAAGAATTGCTCTTAAGTTATCTTTACACAACAGCATCATTTCAAAACAAAGCACAGAATAAGGGTCATGTACAAGATGCTCTAACTTGAAAGGTCTTTGGATACGTATTTTTGGATCTAGAGAAACATAGTGACATCTGCCTTTGATTATCGTTAGATGGATAAATTCTAATTCTGGGACTGTATTTAAAACATTGCAACATACACAATGATGTTATATGTTCTGGGAATATGGCACACCATGGTTATTTTTAACATAATTATAGATGTCTGACAGGTTGTCTTTGATATAAATTATTTTTTAAAAGATTTTCATGGAAAAATTAGAATTCTTCAAGATTCAAGCCATGTTTACATTAGGAAAATTCAGAAAAAAACCACTTGAATAAAAATTTCTATTTGCTTTACAATTGTCAAGATTGTCAAGATTAACTTTACAGAAACTTTGGGTTAATTGCTAAAATATCTAATTTGTCCAACTACTCATTGTACTTCTTCTGACATTGTTAAGCAGTTAAAGAGAATGAGAAAACATGATGTTTTTTCATCAATCAGTACTGAATCCATATTTTAGAAAAGTACTACCAATTTTGTTTGTTCAGAAAAATAATATGGTAATTATAATATAGAAAAAGAATTAGCAATACATATATTTTTAATGTAGACCAGGGCTCCTTATCTCTAGGAATCAAATCACTATCTGTAGATACAATCATTTTTACTCTGTTGCTTATTTATCTCCATTTTTCAGATTGTTTTAAATTTTACAACGATGGATCTATACAAGAGTAGTTTGTGCTGGTATGACTACATTGAAGTAAGAGATGGGTACTGGAGGAAATCACCTCTCCTTGGTAAGAGATCTTTTACCTTTTATGTGGCTATATATCTAATCTGTCCTGTCTAAAGAAAATCAACCGATTCAAGAGTCATCTTAGAGTTAAAAATATATGTGACTAACATTATTTTTATTTTAATTATACTTTTTCCCACCATACCCCAAATACTCAAAGACAGGCAGATGGATAAATACATGGACTGATTAATTAATTTGAGCTAGCTTAAGTTACGAGGTAACTTAATACCTGGATTTAAACATGATTTAGACTAGTTTTCTCATGTATTGTGCCTATCATGAGAACTCCTCACAATGTTTCTGTATTTTTGCCTTAAGAATAAGTTTTGATTTAAAAAAAAAAAAGCTAACTGTGGGTATATATATATATATGTATATATATACATAATATATATATATTATATATATTAGCAAATATATATATATATTAGCAAATATATATATATTATATATTATATATTATATTATATATATATTATTATATATATTATATATATTATATATTATATATTATATTATATATATTAGCAAATATATATAATATAATATATATATGTTATATATATTAGCAAATATATATTATATATATTAGCAAATATATATATATTATATATATAAAGCAAAACACATGAATACACAATATATATATATATATATAAAGTGTTTTGCTTTCGTTTTGTTGCTAAGCCAGTAGTATAAGCTATTAGGTACATGTTTGGTAGCTGGCTTCCTATGTGAAGCATATCAGCTCTTACTGTAGACATCACAATTTTGCTTCTCAGAGAGCTTTTTGTGGCTGAGAAGAGACACTTGGAGTTTGTCTTAAGTTGTAGCTTAGATTTGGTGCTCATGAAAGTCTGTTGCCAACGTTTAACCACAGACCACACTATTAACTTGCACAGGCAGTTTACTGTTACCCTCTGTTTTACTTAAAGGTGAGAGCTGTTCGGAGCATGCAAACATCTACTCTATATTGATCCTTTTTGAGAGGGCGACTTTTTCTTTATTTTTAGAAGTAGTTTCTCCCAGTTGTGTTGATGAACTGTATAGCATTTTTAAGATCTAAAACCTACTGAATGGGCACAATTGTATTAAAACTGACAGCATCCATAGTAATTCCAAGAGATATGTAGAAATGTTTAAAAATAAACAATTGAACTAATTTGGTAAGTCAGGTTAAATAAACCATTGTCTTCTACATTTACTTTCTTAGCCTGTGCATACATATGTAAAAAATTGCATTTTTTACATATGTATGCACAGGCCAAAGAAAAAATATTTCTTTAAACTCATATTGGAGAAACAAATCTAGAGCTAAAATTCTGAAAAACACCTCTTTTTAGGCACCATCAGCATTACATGGCTTAGGGTATAATGGCTGACCAGAGTGACACAGTGTAATCATGGGTTTAGTGTGAAAATCTTTCCCTACTGTATCTTCCAAGACTGTGCTCCAAGAAGTGCAGCACTTAGATTGGTGGCATCAGAATCATCCAGAAAGTTGTTAGAATTATAGAAAATTGGGTCCCACTCTATATTCTCTGAATTAGGGTTTGCATTTTAATAGATTTCCTAGAAATTCAGGTGTACACTACAGTTTAAAACACACTGCTCTGTATTACCTGCCTCTAATTCACTTTGTAATTTAGGAAACTATATCTTCACCTGTTAGCTGTTACGAGGAACCTGCTTTATGCAAATTGGCTACCATTTTTCATACACTAAAACTATGTATGCCCTTTCCAGAGACACATAAAAATGGATAACATGGTAATATGTTTGTAGAATTATTGCATGTGCTTTTTGTCATATTTAAGCATTTTGTGATCATGTGAAAGCTTAGAGCATAAAGGCAGACATAGCATAAATATTTGTGGAAAGAAGAGGAAGAAAGGAAGGAATGACAGATAATTATATTCATTTGTTGTAATTCATATTTATAGATACAGAATTAGAAGAAATTAGAGCTCATGCTCAAGTCTTCTGATAGTATTTGTTATTTTGCCTATAACACTACATATTACAGCTTTGTAGAAGAGATGGAATGTTCAGGTACAGAAGATATTAAGAGTAGCCTCAGGGTTTTCCTCAGGAGTTATTATTGAACCTGGCTGAATAAAGACTCCACTTTGAGAGCACGTTCTTAACCAAGTCATTTCCTGCTGTTGGCCAGGCTGACAATTTGAAACTACTTTCTTAGGATGACTTGCACCTTTTTCTGTTCCCTGTTAAATAATATTCCCCACTTTGATGCATCATTTGATCTTTTTCAAATACTGTTTTTGAGGAACCATCTTACTTCTATAGATGGTAATGATACTGACATCACTCAGTTACTTTGAGGCTGATGGTCAAATACTTTCTAAATAGATAAGAAGATATTGTTTTGTTGATCTACCATTAGTAAGTAAATATTAAGACCCAGTTGTGGCTGCAATCACTTGGAATAGAAATGTGAACTAAGTCAGTGTTTACATATTATTTGTGACTAGTATGAAAAGAAAGTAGACTATAGAGTCCTACTTAGGAGTTTCTCTTTATTCTTTTATTTCTTTTAGGTAGATTCTGTGGGGACAAAGTACCTGAAGTTCTTACTTCTACAGACAGCAGAATGTGGATTGAGTTTCGTAGCAGCAGTAATTGGGTAGGAAAAGGCTTTGCAGCTGTCTATGAAGGCAAGTCACATTGGATTTTGGAGAGTAGTTCATCTTATATCTCAACAGAAATGTCCATTTCTTCATTTCATTACAATGACATTGTAACCATATTTTTAAATTATGAATTTTTCTGAGTCTGTATTTTAATATTCATACAGATAATTTTAATAAAAATACTCAGTAAATTTAAATTGTGAGAAAAACCTGTTTTCTGGTATCAGTGACATAGTAATATCTGAATGTGCTCAGGATGCGTGGGGAAAAAAGCAATTGGTACAAGCACTCTTAAAGTTTCATTGTTTCATGATAGTTTTTAAATGTTATGAAGAAATTATCATTTTCTATTGTACTGATTTTCTGTCTGTTTGGTCCCTGTATTCCTGAAATACTTTTTATTAGAGGAAATTGCACAGAAAGTAATTGTGCCGATTTCTGGGCCATGCTTTGTCTAAATAAGAGAGTCAGCATTTGAGGAAGGACTTACTAAATGCTTTGTTTTATGCTTCTCTAAAACAATAAACTGGCATTGTGTTTTCTTGGCTTTAAAACAAGCTCCTTTCTTGCCAGGTTGTGGGTGGAGGAGACACTTCCTAGTACAGCAATTTAAGTAATTTTGAAGACAGAAGATTTCTGCTTCCTTTAAACTTTTAAGTAAACTGAAGCATTTTGTTTTAAGGATTAACTACCTAGCAGTGAAGAGGATTATTTAGAGGGAGATACAGACACTGCACACACAACACTAACTCACTGCCACAGCCCCAGTGAAGTCTGTTCGGGATGAATTCTGTTTCTGATGAGTTATTTTACCTGCATTCGAAAGGCCAAAGGAAGCAACTCAGAGAATCACATAACAAACTCAGAGAGAATAATTTCACAAAGCCACTAAAAATTTTTTTTTAAATTGTATTTTATGTTTTGGGGTACATGTGAAGAACATGCAAGATTGTTGCATAGGTACACACATGGCAGTGTGATTTGTTGCCTTCCTCTCCTTCAACTATATCTGACATTTCTCCCCATGCTATCTCTCCCCACCTCCCCACCCACCCCTGGTTTTTGTTAAGACAGGATTACAAACTATCTATTCCTTGGACATTATCTGATATTGGTAGTTATTTGACTAGTTTCTTTTTTTAAAATCTTATAAATATCTGCTACATTACACCAGTCAACTTTGATTTTTATTGACTGGTCTTTACATACTGAGCTACAGGAGCTGAACTTAAATTTTAACATAGAAGACAATGAAAACGAAATGGCATGTCTAGGCTTAGTTATTTGTTTTTTGCTTTCTTTAGCCATCTGTGGAGGTGAGATACGTAAAAATGAAGGACAGATTCAGTCTCCTAATTATCCTGATGACTATCGCCCGATGAAAGAATGTGTGTGGAAAATAACAGTGTCTGAGGGCTACCACGTCGGACTGACCTTTCAGTCCTTTGAGGTAAAGTCTTCCTGGTGCATACTCTCCATAAACGACAATGGCATTTAAGAGAATCCTTATTAAATCAGCAAAGAAACAGAGAATCCACTTTTTAATCAGCAAAGAAGTAAAGGATCACTCATAAAATGCAACATCAAGAGCAAAAGGTTTTGTTTTTCTTCTTTCCTAGTTTGCAGACATTTTCAGGAAGATTAAAGCAAGTTTACATTACCTGTCCTATTTGAATTAGAATGTTTGAAGTACTGACAATAGTTTCTTTCAACAAATGCACAGGCTTATTTCACAAGACTGCTGAGAAGGTCCATTAAGTAACAGAACTTTTGTTTCTCATCTAAATTAAGAGATAAAAATGTAGATAGTCTTTTTTGTAAGAAGAACAAAATATTTTTCACCTTTTTTACCATTACACAGATAATTGCTTATATCAAAAATACGAATTTTAAATGCTCTTATGAATTTTCAACTTCCTTAAAAATATTTGTCAGGGAGATCAGCAGCATCGTTGTGTTATTAGATGAAGAGCCAGAAGAAACAAAAGCTAATCAGAATTTTTGGATCAAAGTCCGGGTCCAAAACTACCAAATTGGCTCATGAACCATTTTTATGGGATGAGCGGTACTGAGTTAAGGATTTAAAACCAAGAAATAGAGTAATGTGTCAGAAATTCCAGAGTATGTTTAAATCAAAGGGTCAGTCTAGAAATTGAGAGCCCAAGCTGAAGTGGAGAGGAACGATGAGATGCTGGTGGTAGGTCCTAACAAGACTTGGAAATTTAGATATGTGATTGGAGATGGAGTCTTTACTGATTAGAAGACTAATTCACTAAGTGATCAGAAGGCAGTAATGACCCTTATTACTTAGTGGGTAGTGATGAGCACTAGGAGCACTAACTGCCTACTGAGGACAGTGACCATGGTCATGGTCGTATGTCTGTAGGATAGCAGGAGCACCAGGAGGATCCAGGCATTACCAGTAAACCCAGATAATCTCTCATCCTCATCTGCAAGCCTGTGTGTTCTGTTTCTTTAGTACTTGTCTCTGTCCCCTTGCATGTACCATTTAACTTCCCAGACAGATTTCTGTTTATTGCCAAAAAATATATACTTTCTACTTTAATCATTATGTTATTTTTTATGCTCCTGACCATTTTTTTTTTTCATTCTTGGAAACTTTGGTTCTGCCATTGTTTGATTGACAGTTGAACTTTGTTATTTTAATGGGTTAATAAGTTTGCAAATACTGTTCAAATAGACCAGTTTATTGTTGATAGTGAACTAAAAATGAGTAGAAAAATTTCACCCATGATTTGGACAAAAAGGTTCATAAACATTATCTACCCAGTGTCTGTATTTGCTGTGTTTTGTGATATTTCAAGAATTAAGAGATTAACTGTCTTTTAATATGTAATTCAGTTTTTTGTGGAGTTCTATTATAGATGTGATGCCAGAAAATGCATTTATTCCATCAACTTGAAAACTGATGCATGACATTGCTAGCTTAGTTGATTTGCAATTTTTTAAAAAATTTATCAATGCAATAGCAGTGATATTATTCAAAAATAAGATAGCATAAGGACAAATGGAAAAGATTTGCATCTTAGGCACTTAGAACCATACCTGACACATAGCAGTCACTTAATAAGTACTTGCTTACTGAGTAAATCAGTGATTATTATGCTTAATGACCTGGGAGAAGTCATGTCGTAGGATGGCTGACAGTACATTTTATTTATTGTCTCTAGTTTTCTGTCTTATCTTCATATTCCTTTATTCCTTTATGTTTCTGCCTCCCTCATGTTTTGATATCTGATAGACCTCTCATCTTTAAATGGCTAAACCAGAATCATTGGTTATTTTGTCTTACTCACTAAACCCACTCTTATTTAATTTATTTCAGCATGATTTCAGTACTTTTTCTCAACACTTATCCAACAAAAATCATTAATTCTACCTTTTCTCTTAAGTCCTTCAGCCAGTCTATCAGCATATTTCAGTTGCTTTGTCTTCAAACTATACCCCATACACAATGACTTTACACCACCGTTTCCACCATCCTCCCTTTGCTTGGAACACATAGTGAGAGCCTCAGGCTTCTACTCTTGCTCTGCATATCCCATTCTTCACCTCACAACCAGAGAGATGCTTTTATAATGTATTACGACACTGTTCTACTTACAGGGAGTTTCAGTCACACCTAAAATAATAATCTGGACTCCGTTATCATGGGCCACGACACTTGTGATTTGGTCTTTGGCTCCTTCTTACTCCCTCTGTGTCAGCTCTTCTCACCCTCTTATTCTTCCTCAGAAACACCAAGCTCACTCCCACATCACAGCATTTGCCACTGATGTTCCTCTGCCCTAGGTCTTTGCTTTTATGCTATTACTTTATTTGGATCTCCTTAATTACTGCCTTCTTAAAAAGTTCTTGTCTGATAACACTACTTAAAATATTTTCTGACCTATAATTATCTCTAAATCATCACTCTGTTTTATTTTTAGTTAATTGCACTTCCAACTACTGGAATTTATACAGATCTGTTTATCTACATGTATATTATCTGTCTCTCTCACTAGAATATGACCACTAGTGGGTTGGGATCTTACCTGTGTGGCTGGTCATTGTATTTTTAGCAACATTGTTTGTGAGATTAATGTTTGGTAATAGATGAGATAAATGGATGGATGGATTATAGGTAAGTCAGTGTATGAATGTGTGATGTTTGGTGGCTGGAAATGAATATATTCTTTCTTTATTAAAGGCATGTAAGTTTCCATGGAGAGGGAAACAAGTCTGGATATATAAAAAAGATTTAGATTATGGAGTACCTGGCATGCTGAATTTAGACTGAATTTAGACTAGAGATGCTGAGTGTCAAGAAATTCACCAGTAACAGTATTTAAAGGTGCCCAATAAACATCTAAACCTTCTAGATAAGGAAACTGAGTTTATAACATTAACCTAGTATCACACAGGTGAGAGTTAAAAGAGCATCAAAACACAGGTACATTTGGTTCTGATTTTATTTGCACATTTGCCGACTCAGTAAAATTTTAGAAGCCTAAAATTAATATTTGCAGTACTTTCTAGGTCCCTCACAGATGTGTACAGAGCAGCAAATTTTGAGTCACCGAATGTGCCTATTGCCAGCTGGGATGTGCCTTACTGAGCAAATACGTGTGTCAGATTACTCTCGTTCAGACATGTATGCACACATAGTGCTGTTGGGTGAGAGTTTAGAATTAATAAATGGACAACCTGTATTAATGCTTCTTTAAACAGAAACATATAAAACAAAATGTTGTGACTAGACTCTCACAGGAACCCTAACCCTAGGAGCAATGAATCAGTACTTGCTAGTTCAGTATTCTGGGCAACTTAATAGATGTAACTAGTGTGAATATAAAAAATCAGCTTTATATATTTTCTTATTTGTTCTAATAACCATTAGGTGGTTGTTTAATTTAGTCAGTTATCTGTTTATATCAATTTATTTTTGTTCACATACGTTTTCAATATGTATATTACATGTTTTATATATATTTATGCTCAAAATATATAATTAAAATGTCCTCATAAATTTCCAATATTCTGTGATTTTGCCTGACAAAGTGTAGTTTTTGTCACTGATTCTAGTCTTTGCCTTTATTAAAAAACAGTTTATATTTTTGTTTATTATTCTTTTGTTTTCTTTTTTTTTTTTTTTTTTTTGAGATGGGGTCTCATTCTGTTGCCCAGGTTGGAGTGCCAGTGGTGCCATCTTGACTCACTGTAACCTCTGCCTTCCGGATTGAAGTGATTCTCCTGCCTCAGCCTCCTGAGTAGCTGGGACTACAGGTGCATGCCACTGTGCCTGGCTAATTTTTTGTATTTTTGGTAGAGACAGGGTTTCACTGTGTTAGCTAGGATGATCTCTATATTCTGACCCCATGATCCGCCCACCTCAGCCTCCCAAAGTGCTGGGATTACAGGCTGATCCGTTGTGCCCTGCCTTGTTTATTATGCTTTATGTTACTGTATTCCTCTTCAGATATAAAGACCATTAAGAAAAACTTGTCCATCATGCTGTTGAAATCTACTTTAAAGAACTTTTTAGCTAATGACTACCCTAAAGAACTACTCTAAAAACTAAAGAATCTCTTAGTCATCATTCACGCTTCTATGTGAATTTATGCCACGGCTTTACATTTGCCAGTGCCATTTGCATTTTCTTGAAAGTGCAGAAACAAAGTCTACACACATTTGCCAATGAATTTCAGGAATCTCTGAGCAGGAAGGAACATTATTTGTCGGGTAATAGAATCTTGATGCTTCTATAATTATACCATTTGGGAAGTGCTATTGTGTCTGGATGTTTGTATCTACCCAAACTTTATATGGTTAAATACTAATTCCGAAGGTGATGGTATTAGCGTGGAGTCTTTGGGAAATGATCAGTCATGAGAGTGGAGCCCTTATGGATGCAATCAGTGCTCCTATAAAAGAGGCCTAGGGGCCAGGCATGGTGGTGCATGCCTGTAATCCCAGAACTCTGAGAGGCCGTGTTGGGTGGATCACCTGAGATCAGGAGTTCAAGACCAGCCTGGCCAACAGCATGGTGAAATCCCGTCTCTACTAAAAACACAAAATTAGTTGGGTGTGGTGGTGCATACCTGTAATCCCAACTACTCAGGAGGCTGGGGCAGGGGAATCATTTGAATCTGGGAGGCAGAGTTTGCAGTGACCCGAGATTGTGCCATTGTACTCTAGCCTGGGCAACAAGTGTGACACTCTGTCTCAAAAACAAACAAACAAACAAACAAACAAATAAATAAATAAATAAAAGAATAAAAGAAGCCCAGGGAGCTTCTTCCATGTGAGGGCAAAATGAAAAGTCACCACCTCTGAAGAGGGCCCTCACCAGACACGTAATCTGCTAGTGCCTTAACCTTGAACTTCCAAAGTTGAAAACTATGAGAAATAAATTTCAGTTGTTTGTAAGCCACGCAATCTATGATATTT